TATATTATTATTTATTTCTAATTCAATTCCACTGGCCAGAGAAGTTAATATAAGATTTCAAGCTTTTAAAGTCTATTGAGATTTGTTTCATGGCTCAGCATATAGTTTATCTTGGTAAACATACCACGTATACTTGCAAATTTACCAAAAAATGTGTATTCCGGCAGTGGTTAGGTGTGGTGCTTTATAGATGTTGATTAAGTCAAGATAGTTGATAGTGTTGTTTATGTCTTCTGTATCCTGATATTTTGTGTATTCTGTCACTTGCTGAGAGAGGGGTATCAAAATTGCCAACTGTGATTTGGTTGGATTTGTCTAATTCTCTCTTTAATTTTATCAGTTTTTGCTTCATTTAGTTTGAAACTCTGTTATACATCTACATACACATATTATGTTTATATCTTCCAGATGATTGACTCTTTTGTCATCATGAACTGTCCCTTTTGTTCTCTAATAATACCCTTTGTCTTGAAGCCTATTTTATCTGATCTTAATATAGCCACTCAGCTTTCTAATGCTTATTGTTACATGGTATGTCTTTTAAAATCCTTTTACTTTCAATTTACTTGTGACTTTGTTTTTAAATTGGATTTTTAGTTATACCTCTTTGTATTAATTTTAGTGGTTTCTCTAGGGATTAATTTATATATCCTGAACCTTGTGCAGTCCCATTGCATCACCACTTTGCATAAGATGTAAGAATCTTGCAACAAATAGGTCTAATTTACTGCCCCATCACTTATGCCATAACTGTAGAGTATAAATTATATTTACATCTGTTGCACTACTTCACACATGGTGTTATAATGTTTTAAACAGTCACATATATTTTAAAGAAATAAGAGAAAAAATAATATTCTATATTTACCTGAATATTTCCCATTTCTAGCACTCCTTATCCTTCCCAAAGATCCAGCTTCCCATCTGGTATAATAAGTTTTCTTCAGCCTGAAGTACTTCCTGTAGCATTTCTTGCTATAAAGGTCTGCTAGCCATTAATTCTCTTAGTTTCTGTTCATCTGAATATGTTTTAATTTGCCTTCAATTTTAAAGGACATTATTGCTGAACATAGAATTCTGCATTGACAGTTTTCATTTCCTTTCAGCACAATATATATGTGTGTATGTGTGTGTGTGCGTGTGTGTGTGTATATATATATATATTATAATCTGGTAATTAATACAGTTTATTGGCTTTTGCCCTTTTTTTGTTTTACCTTTCCTCCTCCCTCACTTGTGCTCTTGGGATCACCAGCCAAATCAACTACCTGCATCTAAGTCTTTTTTTCAGAGTCTGCTTTTGGGGGAACCCAAACTGAAACATGTTCAATTTACGTTATGTAAATCTTTATACAAATATACAAATACTTTCTTTTTTTTCCACGAAAAAGACCATTTGCTAAACAAATGTATTCTTTATATTCACTCATTTATTGAGAAGCTGCAGTCTCCTATACATTGTGAAATTGAACTGGTAACTTGTATTATTAGTTATTTTTATGTCTTTGGCACTTAGTGTGTATATGCCTGCAAGTATGTATATATATTCTTTCCTTCTACCTATCTACTTATCTATCTCAATAAAATACACACTTGCTCTTAAGTTCATTGACAGTTAGAACTATGACTTCTTCTTAAGTTTGTCTCTAAAATCTAATACAGTTCAGTGCAAACAGTAGGTGCTCAACAAGCGTTTCCTGATTGATCATTCTTATTTTTAGGCTTCACATACACTATGCATTGTTATACACAAAGTCAACATATAAAATTGATATTAGATAATTTACAAATTAAGGAATTATTAAATTTAACAAATATTTGCACACCTCCTGTAGGCAAAAGCATGGTGGAGGCTATGAAGTCAGAATGCAGGAACATAATATGGTGTGTGATAGGCTCTATACAGCAAATAATTCAGTGAAAAAAATGAGTTTACAGAAATAAATACTATTTCATAGAAGGGAAGGATTAGGATTGAGCAATAGACATGACTGGAAATAGCTTCCAGAAGTAGTAATTATTTGAGAAGGGCCTTGAGGAATAGGTAGGATTTAAGTAGACAGAGAACGGGGAGGGTGTTCCAGTGTTGGAGTACAGGGTGAGAAATCAATGGTAATAATGACATAACACGGAGAATGAGGATAAAGGGACCTGAATGAACATGGGGTGTGTGAGTAACCAAGAGAATGGCCTGACTGAGGGTTAGTTTCCTACTGAGTAAGGATAGAAAATAAGCAATGAAGGGCCTTTAAACCCAAGGCATGTAGACTTTGTCACTGAAACAAGAGGGAATTTTTGCAGGATTTTTTTTAACATGAACTATAAATAACTAAAGTAGAGATTGAATTGAAGAGGATCAGTTTGGCATGTTGCACAGAAAGAGCAGAGATGAAACCCGGCTGATGGCATAGAAACCCAGTACAACTTGCTGTCTAGAGTCTCCAGGCCTCTTTAGCTTTCCATTTAAGTGAAGATTTTTCTCTTTTAGGTCATCTGTGCATTTAAAATCATTATTTTCGATTTGTCATCGTGCTTTCTCTTTTAGATCATAGGATTTTTTTTTTTTTTTTTTTTTGCGGTATGCGGGCCTCTCACTGTTGTGGCCTCTCCCGTTGCGGAGCACAGGCTCCGGACGCGCAGGCCCAGCGGCCATGGCTCACGGGCCCAGCCGCTCCGCGGCACGTGGGATCCTCCCAGACCGGGGCACGAACCCGCATCCCCTGCATCGGCAGGCGGACTCTCAACCACTGCGCCACCAGGGAAGCCCAAGACCATAGGATTTTATTCATTTTAAAAGGTTATCGGTTTTTTAAAAAGTCTAAGCAACCAGAAGATTGCATTCTGTTCTTTCCGGACTATTGAGAAAGGGGGCTGATAGAAACATAATGACTCCAGTCTGGTTTCTTTCGTTGAATTTTAATTTTTTTTTTTTCTTTTGTAATTTTAAACTTTTGTACTAAACTTTAAAATTATGGTTATACAGATGACTTTATACATCCCAATTCTGAGATTTAGATGGAGTGTTATTATGAATATTGTCATCAGAAAGTCATTGTCACTCTGAATTATCTTAGTTTACATATTGCTAAATTTCAAGAGGATTTCATTTCTTATAGAAAGACTTTCCTCCTAAGAAAAATTAAAGTCAATGGAAAAATACTTAACTAAAATTCACTTTTTAGGAATGCTTTTATGTCAATCTGGTGATGTACACAGGCACTTTGGGATACAATTGATCTCATATTCTACTAAGAATATATTTTTTAAAGAACGTTTATCAGCTAGGTATATAACTTGATCATATGCACATCGGGAATATTTCAGAAGTTATTAAGTAGTTAAACTATATTCAATTTAAAAAACAAAGGCATTACCTTTCTTTGTTCTTGTGCTTCCGTTTGGCTTTTCACTCAACAAGCACTTATCAAACACATCCTATGGGAATGGCACTGTTGTGTGCTGCGGTGTAAAGAAAACTCCTAGTAAGGTCTCCTCAAGGAGCCTGTTTTCAGGTAGGCAGCCAGACTTGTAGTTAACAAGATGAAGTGTTACAACTGCTCACAGGGCTCCAAACAGGGTATGGTAAGATAAACAATAATAGGATAAGACGAGGAAAAAAAATCAGGGCAAGCTTTATAGAGAAGGTGAGAGTTGAATTGAGTTTTAAAAGATGAAAAAGTTTGGAGATGAGAGGTCTGGGAAAAAATGGAATTCCTGGTAGAGGTAATGACTTAGGTTTCTTGAACTGTCTGATTCTGTGGTAAACTAGCAGCACTTTTGCCCAGGTTAGCCTCCAACTGTGGATGAAAATGGAAAGGAAGGTTAGAGTCAAAGAAAATGTGTTTTTCTTTATAATAACTCAGAGCCTGCAAGTGATGATAATAAGCATCTCACTGCACACTGTGAGGTATGTTGTGATGCACATTGTGATATGTAAACACTTGATAGCAACTTACTTAATTCCTGCTGCCTCCTCTCTTTTGGGAGCTCAAATGAGACAGTCTTCCTCTTGCCCTCTCTCAGTTTTCTTTCCTTCCATATCCAACTTCAGATGAAAATAGCAACTTACTAATTCCTGGTGCCTCCTCTCTTTTGGGAGCTCAAATGAGACAGTCTTCCTCTTGCCCTCTCTCAGTTTTCTTTCCTTCCATATCCAACTTCAGATGAAAATATCTGAGAGCAAGTCCCTAGCACTGACAGTGTTGATAACAATTTGCATCTAGAAACTTGGACCAGGCTCATAATTCATATTCAGTAATATTTCCATATCAGACCCACCCTAAATTCCAGATCCTCTCCATTCTTTCAATTCCTTCAATTTGTAATAAATATTATTTGTCTGTTGTATTCCAGGTACTTTGTCTGTTATATTCTAGGTACTTTGGTAATATTAATGAATAAAAGGAACAAAGATCCCTGACCTGATGGAACTTACATTTTAGTAATCATCACAACTGCTCTGGAAAATTGCTTTTTTTCTTCCACAGAGATTTATCATGAAAATTAGGTTGCTATCTAAGAGAGTGATTTTCTTTTACGGGCTTTGTATAGACACTGGGGTGGGAAGACATTTTTTATTTCTGGGGAAAAAGGCTTTTTTGTAGCTGGGGGTTCTGTAAGGCTAGACCAGTATGATGTGGCATATTTTCTCTAGTTTATCTTGTAAGAGATGAAGGTTTGAAGGCACTAAAAATATAGTGGTTTCAGAGACAGAAAAGTGGGTGAAGGGAGAAATATTTAAAGACAAGTTATTTGAAGCTTTCCTTGACTTGGCTTCAGTGAGGAGAGAGAGAGAGAAGACAGCCACCAAATGACTAGTGCATCAATTATAGCTTGGGTATACTTTATACAGACAGAATAGGAACATAGTAAGAAAGTAGAAACGACTAAATAGAGAATTCTGTTATGTCATTAAAAAAATCCAATTATTAAAAATGCAGTAAATTTGAAATATTTTCAGTTTTATTTTTTGTTCACAGTTCTTATTTGTTACTTCACAGATGCTGTGCCTGTTCCCTCAGAAAAAAGCCCAGCTCTGCAGACAAGTGTGAGTTTCGACAGGAAATCAGACAGTACCATTACAAATACTGTAATAGAAAACCCTTTGCAAACGTCTCTAGAAAAGCAGCCAGCTGCAAAAAGTTTTGAAACATTGACAACTTTACCAGCAATTTGGCCATCTAGTAATGAAGAGTTCATCAACCCTAATTTAAGGATATCAAAGCCGGATTCTACTTTCCATAACCAGAGCTCTGTGGAGACACTCTCTGTCTCTCCCTCATTCAAAACATTTGACCCAGTGAAACAGACTGTAATAATCAGTAAGGACCATCAAAAACGAACAGAATCCGGCCTGGTTCAGATGGAGGATGAAAACCTCAAGACTTTAACCACGTGGGGTGAGTCTACAAAAAACCTCTTGTGAAGTACTCTCTTTTACTTTTCTCTGCTTTCTGTCTCCTGTTTTTGTTCCCTCGTTTTACTCTCCATCCATTGGTATTAAGAGGGGTACTTGAGCTGGGAAAGTCCCCTTTTATTAAAGGGCTAATAGCAGTTCATCTTTGTGGATTACAAGTGCTTGATTGAAGCACACGTTCTGAACAGTTTTGATGCAGAACAAGTTAGAAAGAACTAGCATTAAAGAAGAGCTTCCTGTTAAACATTTAGGCTAATTATTAAAAAACTATATGAAAAAAATTGTTTAGTGTGTACGTCGGTGTGTATACACACACACACACCTATCTATCTATCTATATATATATATATGGGAACACATGCATATGTGTGTGTGTGTTTTCCCTTTTTTAAAAGAGTTGTGTACTGATTCCAAAAACAGTGGAGAATCTCTTCCCTTTTCTGTCTTACAAAACATTAAGAGGGTTGCAGTATTCTTTAGACTGGGTGATAAAGGATAAAGCCAGTTGAGATTCCAGGTCACTGGCCATCAGATACTAAATCCTACATTTTTATAATTACACTTTCTTCTGTAAAGTTAATTAGTAAAAGAATAACTTGTTTGCTGGTGCATTTTTCAAAGACAAAGTAGTTTATTCTTGTATAGGATAATATGCTAATTAACTCATATAAATATAAAGTTTTTAATATAAGTCTTTTAAACTGCCTCAAATTCAGGTCAGAAGTACAATATAAATACAAACAGTGGAAGCCAAAATGTTGAGGTTAAAGAAATTTATCTTGGTGCTAGTAGGGCCAGTGAATAACAAAAGACTCTTCTTACTGCTCTTTCCAGAATTTTTTTGAATTGAGTAGCCTAAAATAAGACTAATTCTTAGTTTTGTCACCAGATCAACTTTTCTGCTGAGACTGCTGATGGAGAACCCAATTAGTACTGGTTATGATGGCCATGTTAGTTTATGTGCATGGCTGTCCCCTGGGAAGTTGTTATTTTGATTCATTTCTTTCACAAGTACCACAAAAAGAAAATTGAGAATAAATTTTGGTCACTGCTTGTGTACCAAGTACATTTAATTAAAAAAATTAGCAAGAAGTTCCTCTAAAACCAGTTAACAAGGAAGACTTCTTCTCCTACTTAAGATGAAGGAGATAGCATTTGTCTAATCCTCCACCAAAAATACTGGTTAAAGCTGGAAAACTATTAGAAGTCATTGTAAAACAACCGAGGTAGAAAACACATGATGGGTCAGGATCCTAGGAAAAAGGATTGTGATATTGTGATATAATAAAAAATATATATTTGGTCTTCATCACTGATTCCTGGCACAGAGCTCCTGGAACCCTTGTAATTTCCTGAGTGATAGGAGAGAGAGGAGCATCTTTTGTTAATCATAATAAGCCCTTTCAAGCCCACCCCTGACCTGTGGGGAGAGGAGAGGGGGTGGATGCTGAGTTAATCATCAGGGGACAGTGATTTGGTCAATCATGCCTCTGTATTGGAACTTCTATAAAAACCCTAAACAACGGGGTTTAGAGTGCTTCCTGGTTGGGGAACACATAAAGGTTCTGGGAGGATGGCACACCTGGAGAAGTCATGGCAGCTCTGTGCCCCTATCCCATACCTTGCTCTATGCATTCCTTCCATTTGGCTGTTTCTTTATAAACCAGTAATAGTAAGGAAAGCATGTTCCTGAGTTTTGCGAGCCATTCTAGCAAATTATCAAACCCAAGGAGGGGACCATGGGATCCTTCAATTTATAGTCAACAGATCAGAAATAGAGGAGGCCTGAACTTGCAATTGGCGTCTGAAATGGGGGGCAGTCTTGAGGGTTTCAGCCCTTAATCTCTGGGGTCTGCACTAACTTTGGGTAGTTAGTGTCAGAATTGAATTAAATTGTAGGGCACCCAGTTGGGTGTCCACAGAGCACAGGAGAAATCCTTTGTGTGGAAAACCCACACGTTTGGTGTCAGAAGTGATGTGAGGGCCTTCCCTGGTGGTGCAGTGGTTGAGAGTCCACCTGCCGATGCAGGGGACACGGGTTCGTGCCCCGGTCCGGGAAGATCCCACATGCCGCGGAGCGGCTGGGCCCGTGAGCCATGGCCGCTGGGCCTGCGCGTCCGGAGCCTGTGCTCCGCAACGGGAGAGGCCACAACAGTGAGAGGCCCGCGTACCACGAAAAAAAAAAAAAGAAGTGATGTGAGAAGAGTAGGAACTAGTTCACATTTAGTTGGTCCCACATTCACCTCAGTTTTCCCCACTTGCATTGTTTGCTTATTAGCAGAGCAGGATGATAGAAGCTGAGGGAAAATTAGAGGCCTGGGCTTTCCACAGTCTCACTGAGCTTGGGAGGTAAGGTTGGAGTTTGGGACTTCCAAGGTGTCAGGGACTCAAGGGGCCAATATTCCAGAGGGGAGGGAATCACAGAGAAAAAGTCCTAAGTCTTTGTGTAATTTCTTACTGTTACATTTGCCTGCTGCTAAACTGCTCCTGTTCTGGATAAGATGCTGAGAAACGAAACGGGAAGCAGCCAACCCGTTTAGCCAACCTAAATGGGAAGAGGCTGACGAGCTAATCAGAGATTCTCATAATCTCGTGGCTCTAAGAGACAGAGGTCGGAGTTCAGGATATGCCAGATTGTAGGGGCTGTGCTAAATACTCTGTGCTTTCAGCTGGGCTCTCTAACAGGCTACACCCTAAGCATCAGAAGTACACTCTAGGAGTAAGGACAAGCCAAATATAGAACAGCCCTCCCAAATGCTGAAACCGAACTTAAACTAGAGCAAAGTGTCTGGAAGACAATGAAATCCTTTCTTGAGAGCTGCTACAATTTTTCATGCATAATGTTTGGCATTCAACAAAAAATTACCAGGCATACCAGGAAATGAACAAATGACCAGAAATACAGGAGAAAACAGACAACAGAAAGAGACTCACAAATAATCGAGATACTGAAGTTATAAGATAGGTACTTTAAAATAATTATGATTAATATAATCAAGAAAACAGAAGAAAAGATGGGGAATTTCATCAGAATAGAATACTACTTTCTTTAAAAAAAGAATCAAGTGAATTCATGAATTCCAAAGCTGAAAAATATAGTAACTGAAATTAATACCTTGAGGGTACTGTTCAGTGCACATGGCCTGAGATGTCAAAAGAGACAGTTCAGCACTGGCAGAGAAGCTGAAAATTTATGAGGGAAACCCTGAAAGGGAGGGAGACTCAGATGGAGTCTCAGATTCCATTTATAAACTCTGCCCAAATCCTTGACTGACTGCTAAACTGTATGTGTAAGGGAAGATCCCAGTGACTCGTGGAAAAAAAAAAGAACACTGGAAATTATAAATATGTGGGTAAATATAAAATGCTATATATTTTATTTCAATTCTAATTTGAAAAGTAACATACAACTGTTCAAAGCAAAAAATTTTAATAATGTATTTTGGGTTTTAAAAGTTATGTAAATGTAATTATATCACAACATAGCACAAAGAATGGCTGAATTGCATAGTTGTTAATGGCACAGGTTCTGGAGTCAGACTGCCTAGGTTCATAATCTCAGCTCAACCACTAATTGTGTGACCTTAGGCAAGGCCCTTGACCTCTCTGCATGTCAGTATCTCCATCTATAGGACAGAAGTCATGATGGCACTGCCACATGGAACACAGAGGCCGTTATAGGAAAGGATTCGAGGTGAGAGAAAGGAGACAAGAGCTGGTGGGTCAGGTAGGGGGAGAGATCCCAAGATGGAGCATGATGTGGGGAAGGCAGACAAGAATCCAGACCAGAAAGAGAGTCACCTCATGCTGCGGGCCTGTAAGGAAAGAGGAGAAAGGCTGTACCAGATGTGAGGGAAGGGTTTTGTTGTTTTTAATAATTTAAATGCATTGAGCCTTCGTGGGCCACACTCTGTGTGTCATGGCCTCAGTATCTTATTGTCTGAGGTCACCTACCAAGCCTGAGGGTTTGGAGTGGTAAAAGGGCTGTGAAGAGACTGGAGATTTAGAACAGCCAATCTAGAGAATGGAAGAGGGAGCTGATAAGACACTGAGAAGACGGAGTAGTAATTTGTAGTCCAGATTTGCAGCCGCCTGTGCTTTTCTGCTGTAGTGCTGAGCATCCCAGGGATAGGAATGAAAAGGGTAGATACTTAAATTGAAATAGGATTAGGACAGGGATTGGGGAACTGCAGCCTCTTGGTCCACAGCCTGTTTTTGTAAATAAAGTTTTATTGGAAAACAGCCACACCACTCAGCTCGCATATTGTCTTTGGCTGCTTTTGTGCTACATCAGCAGAGCTGAGTAGTTCAAACAGAGACTGTATGTACCACAAAGCCTAAAAGATTTACTCTCTGGTCCTTTATATAAAAGGTTTGCTGACTCCTGAATTAGGAATTAGTAGCAGGTAAGGCAGAAGACGTGTTGGCAAGGGGGTAGCTAGAAAATGGCTGAAGTGATGGATCCTGGGATTCTAGACTGGACAAGAAAGGAGCCAGAACTAGGAGGCACTGATAGAAAATAGAAGGATGGTTGCATCTATTGTCTCAATGAGGCCAAAGTGTAGATGTATTAAAAGGAATGTAAAAGGAATCTAAAAGGCTGGAAGTAATTGAGAAGAAAAGTAATCTTGGAAAACAAGATTTCAGAGTAGGGCAGTTGTGAGTGATGACATATTCTAGGGAATACTCAGAGGAATGGCTGAAGGTCATTGTGGTTGAGGAATTCAAGAAATGATGAGGCTAGGATGGATGGCTAGTCTCAGATGATGGAGGATAAAGAAGATAGTACCTATTTCCTGGTTTTCTTTTAAGAAATATGTGTTTACATGAAGGCTCCAGGTCTGATGTTATAAACTCTTTGGAGATAATGAGCTGGGCAAATTAAAAAATACTTGCACACTCATATTTTAGCAGTTCGCAAATATCAGGGAGGCTGTTGAGGCAGCCACCTAATACACTTTAGTGTCTTTACTGAATGAGAGG